TTTTTTCATTAAAAATATAATAGTTTAAAACAACAAATATTCCAAGTTAGCCTATTATTAATTGAAATAAAAATATCTGCCATGAATGATCAATGGAGTTTCCCCAGAGAACTAATTTTTAGTAGTTTTCGAGATATAAGCCAAAAACTGTGAAAATTTGTAAAAATTGACATTTCAGGAGCAATCACTCCAAAATATGTTGTCAGATATTTTTTTTTAATTCTGTAGCCAGTGTAGGACATTCTGATCATTTTTTTACCCTTGTTAGTTTTTTTTAATTTTCTGAAACATAAAATGCATGTAAATTCAATATATGTAGGTTCAGCTACATGTATGCCTTAAACCTTTCTTAGAGTTTGTCAATCCTGAGTGTGTGTGTGAAGCAGAATATTGTCCTATGAAATATTGTCCCTAAAGACAATATTTCATGACTTTGTATCATGACATTTTGTCCATATACATGAAATAATGTCCAGAGAAGGACAAATTTCCATATGCAATTGTGTCCATATACAGACAATATTTCATAGATGAATAGTATGAAATTTTGTCTGGTTAAAAGGAGGTTAATCCAAGGATAAATATTACATGTGAATTCAGACAATATTCCATAGATGGAAATACATAAACAGTAAACAGTACCAAATTTTTTGCACCAGATGTGCATTTCGACAATCAATGTCTCAAAGGGAGCTCGAGGTTATAAACATTTAATATTTTGGATAATGATATCATGTAAGTGTTTTATTTGATTGATAATAACAAACAAACCTGCCGAATTAAGTTATGCAGCAAATTATTGTTATACAATGTACACATGCTTTTCATGAAAAATATTTTTAAAAAATTCAGAAACGCTCACAATTTCATGGTATCTAGATCAGATTCCTTAGAGAATACATAATACACCATTTCCGAGGTGAGCTACATGTAGTTGGTAATATCCGTCATGTGACTTTCATCACCAAGTGACAAAAATGTAGGCATTTGTTGAAAAAGTTTGATGCTATACTACACTTAATATTTGGGAAATAAAAATCTAATTAGTTGGTCACCTTCCCTTCAGTCGTATGGGAAATTGAGATTATGGAACATAAATTATTTCTAGACTACCCTGCAGAATGACGATCCATAAGATGTTTGAAACTTAAATAGGTGCAGGGATACAGGGGTATCAGGTCCGTTTGCTCCCAATACACGTTCACACCCCACACGGTCGCCCCCTGGGTTCGTTCACACCCTATTTTTATTTAAATACTGGTTGAATTATTAGATTCAATTTTTGTTGAAATCAAACAAAGTTTAATTTGGACCCCAATTTGGACCAACTTGAAAACTGGGTCCAAAATCAAAAATCTAAATACATGGTTAGATTCAGCATATCAAAGAACCCCATATATTCAATTTTTGTTGAAATCAAACAAAGTTTAATTTGGACCCCAATTTGGACCAACTTGAAAACTGGGTCCAAAATCAAAAATATAAATACATGTTTAGAGTCAGCATATCAAAGAACCCCATATTATGTTTTATGGGGTTCTTTGATATGCTGACTCTAAACATGTATTTATATTTTTGATTTTGGACCCAGTTTTCAAGTTGGTCCAAATTGGGGTCCAAATTAAACTTTGTTTGATTTCAACAAAAATTGAATATATGGGGTTCTTTGATATGCTGAATCTAACCATGTATTTAGATTTTTTATTTGTGGGCCCCGCTATCAAATTGGTTCATATTGAGGTCAAAAGGGTCCAAAATTAAACTTTGTTTTATTTTTTTTCATCAAAAATTGAATTATTGGGGTTCTTTGATATGCCAAATCTAACCGTGTATTTCGATTTTTAGTTTTGGGTCCCGTTTTTTAAATTGGTCAACATGAAGGTCCAAAGGGTCCAATATTAAACTTAGTTTGATTTTAACAAAAATTTAATTCTTGGGGTTCTTTGATATACTGAATCTAAACATGTGTTTAGATTTTTGATTATGGGTCCAGTTTTCAAGTTGGGGTCCAAAATTAAACTTTGTTTGATTTCAACAAAAATTGAATATATGGGGTTCTTTGATATGCTGAATCTAACCATGTATTTTGATTTTTGGGCCCCATTATCAAATTGGTCCACATTGAGGTCAAAAGGGTCCAAAATTAAACTTTGTTTGATATCATCAAAAATTGAATTCTTTGGATTCTTTGATATGCTGAATCTAACCATGTATTTAGATTTTGGATATTAGACCATAATAGGTAAATTAAAAAAATTTAAGTTCTTAGACCACATTCATTCTGTGTCAGAAACCTATGCTGTGTCAAATATTTAATCACAATCCAAATTCAGAGCTGTATCAAGCTTGAATGTTGTGTCCATACTTGCCCCAACTGTTCAGGGTTCGACCTATGCGGTCGTATAAAGCTGCGCCCAGCGGAGCATTTTATTGGTTATTATCTTGAATATTATTATAGATAGAGATAAACTGTAAACAGCAATAATGTTCAGCAAAGTAAGATCTACAAATAAGTTGTCATGACCAAAATTGTCAGTCGACCCCTTTAGGAGTTATTGCCCTTAATAGTCAATTTTTAACAATTTTTTCGTAAATTTTTGTAATCTTTCACAAAAATCTTCTTCTCTGAAACTACTGAGACAAATTTAACCATACTTGGCCATAATCATTATTAGGGTATATAGTTTAAAAAATTTGTCCGATGACCCCGCCTTCAAACCATCATGGCCGACTTGGTTAAAAATAGAACATAGGGGTAAAATGCAGTTTTTGGTTTATATCTCTGAAACTAAAGCATTTAGAGCAAATCTGACAGGTGGCAAAAATGTTCATCAGATTTAGATTTATCTGCCCTGAAATTTTCAGACGAATCCCACAACCAGTTGTTGGGTTGCTGCCCCTGAGTTAGTAGTTTTACAAAAATTTTGCAGTTTTTTGTTATTATCTTAGATATCATTATAATATCTAATATCTAATACTATATATATTAATTATGATTTTAACCTTATTTTACATGATTTCCAAAGCATCAGTAAATACAGGTGAGCGACACAGGCTCTTGAGAGCCTCTAGTTTTTCTTTAAAATTTTCCATTTTAAATTGGTTATTTCTGATTTATATATAAAAGCAAATAATAATGATATGGTTTGAATAGGTAAATTAAAAATTTAAGTTCTTAGGCCACATTCATTCTGTGTCAGAAACCTATGCTGTGTCAAATATGTAATCACAATCCAAATTCAGTGCTGTATCAAGCTTGAATGTTGTGTCCATACTTGCCCCAACTGTTCAGGGTTCGACCTCTGCGGTCGTATCAAGCTGCGCCCAGCGGAGCATTTTATTTTTAAATGTATCTATCAAGGATTTGTATAGTAATTACAAATCCTTGTATTTATCAAAATATTTAAATTTTCATGAATGAAAATTCGGGAATTTTTTAAATGAAATTTTTTTTTTTGGTGATTTAATGATTAATTATTATAATTATGTATGCTTACTAGCTGGTAATTGGTATTTTCAAAGCCAAATTTGCTCTGTGTTTGAAAATTATGATTGTTATTATAACTAGCTTTGATGTAAATACTGCATTTGGTTAGCTTGGTATGAGTAGACTCAATGAAGATTTTGTATCTTCCGCCTTTCTTTTACAAGTCTTAGCTAGATGAATGAACTTTGCCTTGATCATCACCGGGACACAATATATTGAATAATAGTCACAGATCATCATGACAATTTTTTATTCATGATTAATTTCATCCAAAAAATTAATAAAACAGTAAAGGAAACCCGTTTACATTTTTATAATGTCACTTTATTTTGAAACAAAAAAAAAACTTATTTATAGCAATACACTAACTTAAACACGATTAAATATTTATTCCACACAAAACCAATAAAAAGGCTGCAAACAGTCTGAGGGTGCCAACATGTGGGGTGCGGATGTGAAATGGGGGGAACGTGAATGGGATTGAATATGATTTCGGGCGAACGGACCCAGATTCAGATACAGACGTGCCTTCTATCTGATAAATGATGTCATAAGAGAGAGCATAATTGACAATCTTTTCCGGTGAAAGACATGATTCAAGAAGCAGCCTATTAGAAACATATTCATGGACAGAATTTCACAGTAAAATATTGTCATGGACAGTATTTCATTGTGAAATATTGTTCAGAAGGAGTAGACAAAATTTCATGGACAAGGACACTATTTCGTAATTAAATATTGTCCTGGACAGTATTTCATTATGAAATTTTGTCTAACGGGCAATATTTCATGGGGGATTATTTTATGATATACATGTGAAAACACAGCCATATTTGTCAATTACTTTTAATGACTAGACAAATTTAAATAGAGTCTAATTCAATAATTGATCAGATAGGGACTGTTTTTTTATGTTTATCAAAATTTCAATTGACCAGTGTTTACAGGCTTTTTTTTATTCTAATTAAAATTATATCCTTTAATTGCTCCTGTTCTGAAATTATGGTTTTTTCAAAATTTTGCCATCCTTGGAGTTCCCTGGTCATTTATGAGGGTGGTAATGGGGGTATCTTCATGACGAATAACGATAAAAATTCTTGCCAAATGACGTTAACCGTAATTTTTGGTACAGGACAATAAAATGTACACTTTCTTTTAGACGATAAAAAAATCGACTGATATTGACGAATCAAAAAATAACGGTAACGATAATTATTTGAGACCTCTGTCTCTGACGAATCACGATAAGAATATATTGACGAATCAATGTAAAATTTTAACCAATTTGACGCTGACGGTAGCCAAAAATGACCGTTTGACGCCTGATGATAAAGGGCATTCCTACCCTCATTTACATTTTCTAGTTCAGTACTGACAGTTCTCAGTAGACAGTACGACAGTAGCTGGAGTGATAAACCTCAACCTGTTGAATTGGATTACAACACAGGAGAGAAATGTCATGTATGAACAATATTTATTACATGATTTGAGTGAATATTTGGTAAGAACGAACCTGATAAGAAGATGTTTTAGTTAGAAGTAAGCTTCCTTTGCAACGGAAGTGAGAAAAACGTCATCTATTATTGTGCACAATCAAAGAACCGGATGTCGCGTTTATCAGGAACTCCTCTGCCAAATAAAGGTAAAATTACGGATAAATCGTTAAATGATGTAGTATTTGTGAACTTGAAACTCTTTGTGTTATATCAGAACAATTTAGTACTCTTTAACTAGCGTCAATTAGAACGTTTGAATCGAAAAACGAAGAAAATGTTGGGTACATTTTTAAAGGGGAGGTAACTCTCATCTTATCATATGAGCTTAGAGTCAGACTTGTCCCTCTATCCCAACTAAAATGGTCTTTAGTCTGGCTAATCCAAACTTTATGGTTAACTAAACCTTATTTACATACAAATGGAAAAATAATAAAAGCTCAATTGGGGAAAGTAAACCACAAAACATTGCCCTGAAGAGTGAAGTCCATTAAAATTATTTTGTTACTTAGTCCAGTTCACTTCCAGTTGCTGAAGTGTAAGTCCGCTGATTTCTTTATCAGTTTTTTGGATATTGAGTCCAGAGTGATGTTCTGATCATCTAATCTCTCAAGATACAGAATCCCTAAAGCGATTAGTCATTTTCGTTAACATATAACATATACAAATGTATATACATTGACATTGTGTATGTACCCAGGGACTATTACAAGTCCCAGTATGTACTCCGAGTAAATTTTGAGGTAAAAACGCAGCTATTTTGATTAAAGGGTCCACATGAACCTTAAACAGGATGGGACCAAACCCCTTATAATGATTATATGGTGATAATACCTGCATAGAGTGATTACCCTTCTATAGAGGGATAAAATTATCCCTTTAAAGAGGGATATATTTGTTTAGACTGGATTTAAAGCAGAACATGGCAAATGCGCATTTTGCACTTATATTGGCTATAATCTATAGCATTATAGGTATCAATTATTGCACTTTACTAAATTTTGGGATGCCCAGTTTTCTGCTAAAGTGACAAAACTTTCTATCTATTATGTACCTATCTGAACACCTGATCAACAACAATAGGGACATTTGACCTTAAAATTTTATGTTAAATATAACAATAGAAATCTGTTCATTGAAGCATAACTGAGTGGAATTTATCTGATTCTGATCATCACAGCTTTCAATTAGGATGAACAATAGATTGTATTTTCAGTCACGTTAGCAGTAAACTAGACATGTGTACATGTATATTAAAATCAAAATTGGTGCATCCAATGTTGCAGGTTACTGCCATAATACATGTAAGTAGAAAATGCGCATTTGTCATGTTCTGCTTTAAATCCAGTCTAAACAAATATATCCCTTTATAGAGGGATAATGTTATCCCTCGTTAGAAGGGTAATCACTCTTATACCAGGTATTATCACCATATACAGTCAAGGATGTCACTTGAATAATAACATACATGTGTTATTATGGATACTTTCTCTTAATCTGTAGTAACATATGTTTGTTATCAGTTAAATGTACCATAAAATTTTTTATTTTCAGTGGGCACTTGGGAATTCTTGAAACTTGCGCAGTAACTTAATACATAACCTTGAAAACTAATTTTCCAATTCAATTAATACATTTTTGATCAACCATGGTAAATCAATGAGACAAGGCTTTTAAGTAATAACTTAGCTGTAATAACAATGCTTAGTTATTACAGGCATTTAACTTATTACATGAGACACTTGGGAATGACTAGGAAGCTTGCGCAGAACCTCATTACATGCTCTTATCATTATTTATTACAATAAATTAAAATACATTGTGATATATGTAGGAGAAAAGGCTTTGAAGAGATGTAGAGAAGCTGTAATAACACCCTTTAGTTATTACAGGCATACTTTTTCTGTAATAACATGGGTGTGTTATGCATGATTGGCAAACTAAGGGCTGTTTTATCTTTCTAAAGTTTAATATACATAAAGACAATTATAATATCAATAGAACTAGTACATGATTTAACAAAATGAAGGATGTATAATGCCCCTTTGAAACATGTAACATACATATGTTATCACAGATTTTTGATTTTTTAGCCGTCAATAACAAATGTATGTTATTTTTCTCTAATAACTTATTTAAGTTAGACCCTTGGTTAGGTCCCAACCTGTTAAATGAATAGACCTTGATTGCTAATTTGGAATCTACGACACATGACCAAATATTTTGCGACACTTGAACTATTTACATCCTTCAACAATCACATTTGCATTGTTGTGTCAAACAATTTTTCTTATAATGTCATAATTTTATGGGAAATTTCTGATGGCCACAAATTATCTGAATGTTTGACTTGCAAGTCTATAATACATCAGCGATGTTTATGAGCTTATTTTAACAAATTTGTCTAAATCATAGCTAATGCCCCTTTAAGAAGTTGTAAACTGCCATTTATGGTAATAAAATCAGGTAAATACAATTAAAAAAGAAACGAAATGTGGCAGTTTGGCGACAGTGTTGTACCAAGCCACTTTTACCACATAAGTTCATTCGTGACCTTTCAGAGCAAACTCTTATAGTTGTAATCATAAAATAATATGTTTGTAGTTTCCTGTGTTTATTGTTTGTTGTCTAATTTGCCATGACTTATTTGTTTGTAATTTACAGTATTTAAAAATAATCCAATCCTTTCTGTTTTTTTTTTCCCTCAAAGTTTTTTTTTCCAGGATTCAATAAATCTATTCCTTTTTTCCATATGTATATCTTTTGTTTTGGTTTCATAATTTTTAGCAATCTGTTTCCAAATTGGGAATTTCTCCGAAAAACTTCACCTTGTGATCTAAAATCACAAGGGCTAGGGAATATTTTTTCTAGAATATTATATACTCTCTATCCAATACATACACTGAGAATTACACAATTTTCCTGGCCAGGCCACTCTGCTTAATCAGGGAGTGTTACATACTGATGTGGCACTTGTATAAATTTTCCCACAGAAACTGACCTCTTTATTAAATAAAGTTTTGCTGAATGTTGAGAGGGCTCATAAATAACTTAAATCTTAGTGTTAATTAATTTATATATATTTTTTAATCTTTGTTTATTTCAATTTCGATCCAGAATTTAAAAGCTTGACTTAGGAGAGTTTGAAGTTTAGGAAATTTGCTACATTTTTCATGTCAGGGCCTTTTATAGCCGACTATAGGGTATGGGTTTTTCTCATTGTTGAAGGTCGTACGGTTGCCTATAATTGCTTACAATTTTACAAAGTATCTTGAATAAAAAAAAATATTTGTTGGAAAAGATTGTATAAACCTAGCCATCACTGGCCCATGGTATTTTGACCCCCACCTTGGAATATTGCACCCAACCCCCTAACAGGTCAAAATTTTAATTAATAATACTAAGCATTTAAACTTCCTTACCTAGTTATGATGTTGAAATCACGAAAAAAACATATGTTGGAAAAGATTTTAGATCAATTTGCTGAACCATGGTATTTTGAACCCCCTTAAATGGAAAACTAAATTCCTCTCTAGATATCCCAATTTCAAATAATCAAAGCATTTTAGCTATTTGATCTTACATGTATCATAATGCTTCATTAAATATCTGGATTGAAAAACATATATATTGTAGAGGATTTTATAACCCTTTTTTCTTAGCCATGGTATTTTAATCCCTCCTTATAAATTTATATTTATAAGATTTCAGATCAGTTTTCTTAACCACAGTTTTTTTTTATGACAGAAAGTCAAAAGCATGAGTAGCGAACATCCTTTTAGTATAAGGATAGCAAAACATATGTTGGAGAGGATTTTATAACACTTAGCAATTGTAATTTGACTCCCCTCCTCAAACCTTGGAATATTTAATCCCCTCTCCTTCTAGGTCAAAATTTCAATTAATAATTGTGTTTAAACTACTTAAACTAATTATAATGTCTTAATTACTTTATTAGTATCTTGAAAGAAAAGTATTTGTTAACAAAGCTTTAAGATCAATTTTCTAAACCATGGTATATTGAATTGAACCTCCTTCCATGTAAAATTTAGATATCAGAATTTCAAACAAAGCATTTCAACTACATAATCTAATCTAAATAAACTTTGTCATTTAACCATTTTTAGTATGATACTGAATCATCAGGATTATGATACTATGTCACACACACGGATACATTTCTATTTTTATCAGAAATCAGCCTGCCTCAAGTTATGATGACACACTTTTAAATGCAACTTAATATTATTCCACAAAAAAAAAACTAACTGATTAGTGCACTCTACTTCTGCTTAGGTATAACCACTTATGATGAGTCAATAATATTTGATATGCAGTTGTATAAGTATTGGCTCGTGTCATTTATATGGAGATTATTTGGCCTCGCCCCCTCAGTCATGGTTTTGCATTGGTTACATGTTAAAGTTTGTGATTAAGTCAGTTTAAGGGGAATCACTTATGATAAGTCAATGATATTTAGTATGCAGTTGTATGAGCATTGATTGGGATATGTCTTATTTATATCCCAGAAATTATTTGGCCCTGTTCCTTTAGTCATAGTTCATTGACTTTGAGTAACTTGCGTAATTTACAGGTTAAAGTATTGCTATTATATTTTAATTTCAACATTTGCATTTTACTATCAAAATTATATACAGGCGAAATATATCTCTGTTTATCATATCTTTTAAATAATTCTCTTGATCTTTTAAATATTTTGACAGTTTAGAAAGAAATGGCTTTTGTTTTCCAATGTATTGCAAAATTTGCAGAGTCTCTGGTCTCTAGGAATCTGATAATGTCTGCCTTTCTTGATTCTATTTTAGAAAAGTGTTCACTGAGTCTGTTGCCTTTCTAAAATTAGAAATATTGTGATTTAGGTAAATTTGTATGTTTATTAAGTTAATCTGTATGGCTTTATGTAAATAAACTGGTATTCTTTTTATTTTAGTCATTTTTTTTTCTCTATTTATATCTTTGAATATTTATTACAGCAGGATTTAATAAAGTCTGACACACTGTTAACTAACACCCCTTAAATTTTTACTAAAAGCTTTTGACAACTGACTTTACTTACAAGTTGATTTTAAAAATGCA